AAAACAAGGATTGTAATGCTCTAATTCATCATAATAATCCACATTTTGTGCTTGCATACATGTATTAGTAGCATGATAACCTCCACACAAGTCACAAATCACATGATAAGAATTAAAAGCATTAACATTCCTTCTCTGCTCAATTTCATGCATCATGGTGTCCATTTGAACTTGTAACTTAATTACATCAAATTTTGCCTTTAAGCACCTTAAACCATCTTCAAAAGACATACATTCAGTAAATTCTTGGTTACCTCTGTTGAAGGAGCTTTGCACTTGGTAACCATCCATTGTCAAACCTACATTTCTCAAGCATTGTCCTCCCCTGTTTTCTACTCTCCTTGATCCCCTAAACATGCTCTCAAAGTAGCTCAAAAACAAGTTTAGTCAAGAAGAATAGATGACTTTAAACATACAAAAACAAGACATTAAACATAAAAGACTCAACAAGACTCAAAACAAACAAGACCTTAACCAACAAAAACAAGTGAAATTGTCTAAATTAATAAAGTTGTTTTTCACACCGATATTGCCAAATCTTCCCCGGCAACGGCGCCAAAAACTTGATGTGCGCGGAGTATACATATACAATTAAGCTCATCCTAATCAAGTTTTACATTTATAAACTCCTAAATACCCCACACGCGATTTATCGCAAGTATACGAATCGTGAGCGAGTATAGGGTATTAAGGGTCGATCCCACAAGGAAGATTGCAATTACCGGTACTACTAAAGCTTCTCTATTATTTAGACTATCAATGAATTATAACAAATTTTACCTACTCAAATTATACAAAATAACAAATAAAAGCTCCTTAGGTTGTGGTATCCCTAACTACTCATGCAAGTGCTATATTTGGATCATTAATTACTACATTTAGGCTAATTATGGTGTAATTTCCTTATGCATTTGAATCTACTTTCGTAGTGAATCAACTATACTCATAACTAATCCATACCTATTTTCATGGTTATGAAATTAGCTACAAGTTCATTTCTTCAATGAAATTACATGAAATGAATCACTAAAAACCACATAAGTGCACCTCTACTTTCGTGAGTGTACTCCCTATGTTTAGCACTTCTTGAACTAGTGTTAAATCTCAATTTTCATTGCAGAAACAACACCTTAGATAATCACAATTAATGGTACCAGATTAATCATGATTTCAAGAGCTAAAGTGCTAAATAACTTGCTCAAATCATAGCAGTCAAATAACCAAATAATAAACACTAACAATTATAGAAAGTTCAACCAAACCCAAGGTATAAACTTTAGAAACACATATTGAACACAAAATCCAGAACTTGTATATTAACTAAATTTGGAATCAAATACAAAAGATAAAGAGTTTGGAAGGAATACAACCCTTGTCACATGAGCTTTCTTCCTTGCCTTCTTCATCCTCCATCTTCATCCTAATCTAGATAATAAACAAGAATGGAAAGCTACACTACTCTATACTAAGCTAAACTAACACTAGAGAGATGAAAGAGCTACATTTCTGCAGCTTCAAGCTTCTCCCGTAGCTCACTCTCTATTTTTCTCCTATGGACTCCAATCTCTCCAATCTCTTTTTGCAATGAATTTGGCTCTTTTATGATGAAAAGGTGGTCAAGAAATGAGGATTACATCTCCCTTTTACAGCTGGGAATGTTTCTCACATGTATAGCATCCAATGTGAATTGGTGGAGGTGAAATTGAGTTTTACGCGTACAGAGCAGCCTTTTCTGACCTGTGATCCGAGCTGCTACAGTACCTCGGATCCGTATGGATCCGAGCTCGGATCCACTAACCCAGAAACAACCGAGGGTTCGGATGAATAGTGGATCCGAGTGTGGATCACTTGCTCTGTTTTTGGCCCAACTTCAACCAATCTTTTCTTGATGTTAGAGGCTGAACCAGCTCATGTCTAAAACACGAAAGTTGTAGCCTTTTGAGTTATCTTTCTAATGCATCAAGAATCACCTCATTTGGATCTGTGTAGGCTGAGATATGACTGAAATACCCTTGCCTGCTCATTGCCCTGTTCCAGCTTCGACCAGTAGAAATTTGCTATTGTAATTCGGCATTTTGACCTGGAAAACCTTCAAACTGGATTTAGATGTCTTCACCAAAGTTGTAGATCTATCTCTTATCTTCAAATGGGTTCAAGAATCATCCCAATCCGATCATTGTAACTCAAGTTATAGCCGAAATACGAAAATGTGTCAAAACTGTCAAAATACACAAAATCCAAGTAAAAAGTGATAAAAACCTCATTTAATCACTTAAAAACATTTATTCACCAATTATAGCCAAAATGATTCATATTCTTCCAATAATATAAGCAAAGTGACTAAAAATAATATAAAATGTCATACAATTATTACGTAAATTAGTCACTTATCATATGTATGTATATGTATATATATATATACATGCATTTGTATGTGTGTGTATGTATATATGTATACATACAAATATACATAGATACATAGATACATACATATATATATATATATAAGTAGAGAGAGAGAGAGAGATAGAGAAAGTGAGAGGGAGATCAAAAGATCAAATGGCAGGAGCTAGAGATCAGATGGAGAGGGAAGATGAGTGAAATGATTTGCAAGAATGGTTTTAAGTTTTTCGATTGACGTGAGCGAATGATTAAGGGTCTCGATTATCAAATTTTGCCCCAATAATGCAAGAGGTGGCAGGATTCATTCCCTTCCATATACTTGGTTTATTGTGATCAACTTAGGGTTCCAAATCTAGATGTCTAACTTTTTCCATTTGTTGCCCATAGAGAACTCGTGTTTCTTTCGAGATTATTGTCCATCATGCCAATTTGGGCGAAGTGTGTTTTATGGGCCTTTTGAGACCTAATTCATAAGGCAAAAGACACAGTAGGTTCTTTATGAACTTGAGTGATGAAATAAGAAGATGAGCCAATGGTGAAGGAAGGATGAAATCATTTACCCTATAAATTAAATTTTCTTTTAGGTTTAACCATTCCATTTCTCTCTCTCTTTCCCATGCATTGATATATTTTTTTGTTTTTTCTTCTCTCCATCTCATTTCATCCCAAACGAATGTAAAGACTTCGAGACCCGTTTATCTTGCAATGGGGTATTGAGAGTTGAGACAATTGGGTTCTACGGCATGGGCATATCTACATATTGTCAATGTGCCGCTACTAGGCTAAAAAAATGAATAATAAATATGATATTTAAAAAAAAAAAGTTTGATTTCACATTAGTAATTTGTTAACGTGGCCGTACTGATCAAAGAAAAATTATTAATTTAGATATTAAATTTTAGAAGAATTTATCTATCTTCTATTCACTAATTCGCAGAAGGTCAATATGTACGTGTGTTTAATGACAAGAACTTTTAATAAAATAACATGTATAAGCCATATGTTTAATAACCACAACAACTAAAACCATTGTTTTAAGGGGTTATAAGGTAACAAAAAACTCTAGTGATTTAACGAGTTCATTAGACACTGGTGAATTTTATTTGTGAACCTTTAAGAAATTTATTTGGCTCTGCCACTGTAAATATAGGGTGGCTGTTTTTGCTTTACTGGTTTCAACTACTCACTTGGTATTAATGAAGAAATCTACTGCCAAATGTCAACCTAAGGACTGAAATAGAGGACTAGTTAGCCTTACCTGTAAGGTATGTGCATTTGAGGGAGACGGGCAGAAGTAAGTTTCTTGAGAAAAGTTCATAGATCTCTCAGAGAATTGATAACAAGAAAAATAAACAAAATCTGGGGATGAAAAAATCTCGTTTAGAATCTCTAGATCCATTAGAGGACTGACACAATATCCGGAATCAGGATGAGAAATTTTATTTTAAAATTATTTCCCTGAATAATGGACCGTTGATTAATTTAATTGCATTAGTGTGATTTTTAACCAAATTTGCTCCTTCCATCAATAGCATATTTCCTGTTACCTGTTGTCCAGTTAAACAGCAATACAAACTGGAAGAGGAATGAGTTTCCATGCTTAAGAACATGTTAGTTTTTAACACTGTTCAGCAGAATTTGCCAGTTGAAATCCTCTATTCAGATGGTGAAGGATCCTCTCAGCTTAAATTAAATGAAAGACTAGATCTGATTCACCTCCCCAATTTAGTTGAGCTTAACATCATAGATACTCAGCTTTAATTCTCTGTCATGTTAAAAAAAATGTAAGATTCGAATAAAACTGCATCAAGTGAAATATAATATATACTTTAATAAATTTTCACTAAATTAGAACATATATTTATTCGTGCAATTTTGTATAATGTGGCTTTTATTTTTAATAATGAAGTAAGAAGGCTTGATAAATGTCTTTACTGCACTTTGTCTAGGTGGGTTGTGATTTTCACATAGAGCTTTTTAGATGTTTCAATACATTCAACAAAGCTACTAATATATCGTATTATTTTCAACTTTGAATAAGCTATGAATAGTAAGATAACACATTGAAATAACTTGAAATTTAAACTAAAAACCATAATTAGATCATTTTAAGTAATCCTATGGAAGCCTTAAAAGGTAAAATGAATGTAAATACACATGTATTGGTGTTAAGGAAAAATTTGTGATACCTTGAAGGCACCAAAAACATGAGTGACAAATTTTGTTATGCTAGTAATATGTTTTGTTAAGTAACTATAGTAAGTTTTCTCCTAGTTATGATGAAATTAGGTTTTTTGGATGATAACTGGGTACATCTTGTCATTCACAACGAGACTTGCCAGTTGCACACCGCAACTTCCTATCGTTTGAACAAAATTTGACATTCATTTCTTGTTAGGCACCATAACATTTTCCCCGTGTTAAGTATATGTGCATGCACATTTAGATCTTGAATTCATAAGCTTTGGGTCTTGCCGAATGGAAACTGAATCAAACCATTGATTGCCCTTTTGTCATTACATAAATTTCTGCTGACGTAATTTAGTATTTGCAACTTGTACCTTTGACCTCATGGTGGTTCCTTCAAATGATTTTAGTGCCGCAAGTACAACAGAGCGCTACCGGAAGTGTATCAAGAATCTCCTCCGTCCAAGCAAGCAAATGGATGTAGAACATTTACAGTCAGAAACTGATCTGCATACTCCGGTAAATCTTGTTTCATTATGAGTTGCTACTGCAGTTGCTAGTAAACCTATAGCTGTAACTGTTTTTCCCTTGCGTTGTTTCCTAGAGAATGATCATGCAAGCAGTAGCAGCTGTGTCTTTTTATGCTTCTGGATTTAAGTCGGTATCTTTAATTATGTTCATGGAAAATGTTTCGTATTGGGAAACATCTTCTTCATTTTTTACCCCCTCGACTGGATATATGTTCTTTTTGCATGTCCTCTTCACTAAAGAGTTAATTTCTTGTGTGGCTGTGCCTTATGTGTTTACCATTTGTGTGATGTTTCTCTTGTTTTGTTTTTAGTGAAGAATGTCATCTAGTTGAGTTTTATGCACCATTTTCACAATTGGAATTACCTTTTGAATTATTTGAATAGCGGGTATTAAGGTTCAATTGTGTCCTGGTACCAAATATTAGTTGTATGAAAGCCTATGAATTGCCAAAAACTTGATAATGTAGAACGAGGGAATATAGTAATAATCACTTTATTCAATCATAATCAAGGCTCAAATAGGTTAATCTATCCCTAGAACAAGAAGATTTAACTAAACATAGTAAATTTAACAACAAAGTTCATATCTTCAATTTAACTAAGCATCAATGAAACAATAAAGAAAGTGAAGAGAAAGAAATACTTATTCAAGTAAAGAAACAAGATTTTCAAGTTTCATCATCTTCATTGCCATAAAAAATACATTATTATATCAAGAGTTCTTAAAGTTCTTCAAAGGAAATAAGAACTTGATCTAAAAGTACACTAAAAACTAAGCTAGAGAGGAAAGAGAAGGAAAATTCTACTTTTTGCCAAGAGCTAATATTCTCTCTCAATAATGTGTTTCTTCCTTGTTAAGAGTCAAGAAAAGAAGCTCTTAGATTCCCCATAAGTTGATACAAGTTATCCCTTTTTGTCTTGTCAATGATGGAGAAAGAAACAAAAGTCATGCAAGTTAGCAACTTGCAACTTGCAGCCGTCATGAATCCCACGAGGAATTCTCCCAGAGATTATGCAGAACATGTGATTCTTTGCTAAATGGATATTCTGCCTATAATCCCTTGCAGAATCCACAGAGTAACCCTCGAGATTTTCTCTCTCTCTTTCTTTTTTTAAAGAAATATCCTTGAATCGCATCACCTACTTTAGACATTGTTGTGACTTTTTCAAGTTTCTAATTCTTGCTTTGTTAGATCACCATTTTGCTTCCAATTGAGTTTGATCATTTTACCTACAAAAATAAAGAGATTTTGCAAGTAAAATGACAAAATCACAACTAATTCATCTATCAATTTAAAATGCAAATTAAAGACAAAAATGAAAATCTTATACCAATTAATCTTACAAATAGACTCAAAAACAATAGGAAACACATTCAAAAAGATCACAAATTTAGCCATTATCACGTTCAAAGTCCAAAATAAGCATTTTCTTGGCATTCACCTTCTTGATTTCTCGGAATGGCAGTCAAGATCCTTCTGAACTATTATTGAATAGCCGTAATGTCTTACATTCACTTGATTTCTTGATTCTGAGAATCTCATTCAAGATCATGGATCAGTGCCAACTGATTCTTTGCCTTAAAGATCTTGCCCACGGATTTATTCTGCTAAATCTTTTGATCCTTGCTGAGCATACTCTTATTTGTGCAGCATTTTGAAGAAGAGGTTGCAATCCTGAGGAAAAAAATTGAGCTTCTTGAAGAAACTAAACGGTGGTGTCCTAACATTGGCACATTTGTTCAAGTTTTAAGCAGAACTCATCCTTATCGTATAACAACATGGATTTCTTACAGTTTTTGGTGATTTAAAACATAATAATTTTTGTATGTAGCAGAAAGTTCTTGGGAGATGGTTTAGATTCCTCCTCCATTGATGAGTTGGAACAAATAGAACATCAGTTGGAGAAAAGTTTAAGAATCATTAGGTCAAGAAAGGTACGTTTTGCGATAGACATCTCTACAATTACATGATCAGAATGTAGAATTTGATGGTCAAAATCGAAGTTCAATTCTTTTGCAGATCCTATTCTCTTGCGAGGAAATAAATCAGCTGAAAGAAGAGGTAAAATACGCATTTGAAGCTTCAGGAGTTGCTTATTCTTTCATTCACATTTTAGTCCGAAATAAAGTTTATGCATTTCATGTTAATTGGCATGGCTAATATTCTTTGCATATCTTGTCAAATTCAGGAGAAAATTCTTAGGAGGGAAAATGCGGAATTACGGGAAAAGGTAAGTCACTCTTGTTACTCATAACGTTATTAATTTATATATACCTAGAATGACCACAAATAAAAAGTCTATTCCAACTTTATGATGTTGGATAGGTATGGACGCTGGAAGTCAGTATATCGATTCAATTTTTTTTTTTTTTTAACAAAATAACCAAATTCTTTGAAAGGAACTCCAATGTAAGGGAAAACTTGAAAAAAAAAAAAGTATTAGATAAGGTCTGAAACTACAAACATTTATTTCAAATTCACATATTGTATAAGTTCTAATGGTAACAATAATGTAATCAATGTTGAGGATTTAAGCTGATGGGCTATAAGATTTATCAACCCCCAGAAGTATTACTACCATTAATGTTTAGTTTGCATATGCCAAAGCTATTTATTGGTAATTTATATTTTTTTGAAAAATGAATTTGCAGTACGAAGAGCGACAGTTGGAACTATCGATTGGTCAACAATTCTTATCACTAGAACAAGGAAAAGAGGTAGAAACGCAGCTGTTTATCGGACTTCCTGATAGTTAAAATTGTCAAAAAAAAAAGAAAAAATAAACAATATATCAATCTACGTGACTTTGTATAATTTGTTTTCTTTACTTCTTTTGTTGTATAGATCCAACTTTCAGGTATTTTTAGGGAAGTATCTAATATCGTCCTTTTTTATTATTAAATCCTATTGGCCTACTGCCTTATTATGCCGTCTTATTTTATAGAATTACCGTTAAAATGATGCAAAAGGTTGGATGCATATTTTACTGGCATTAGATGTTGATAGGGTCACTGGCAGATAAAAAGAAAAAGGGCGATAAGATAAATTGCTTTATATTTACTTAAGATGTCAAAATTATATCCTTCTAAAAATTAGATTTTACCCATAAGCCTCTTACAAATATGCAAGGGTACCTCAAATATATATTTAAAAAAAAACAGGGATGAACATTTGTATCTAAAACCTGTAATTTTTGGTATCATTCTTAACTTTTAGGCATTGTTTGTTTTGAGGGGATGAGACAGAAAGGAAATGAAGCGATAAAGTTTTTAATATTTGATTGAATTTTGAGAAGGGAGAGAAAGGATAGAAAGGGAAAGAAAGGGATCATTCTCGTTATTTTTTATGAGCCTCTTTTCCATCCAAACGTGCACAAAAATGAAGTGAAAAGAAATTAAGATGAATGAGAATTTAAAATTTTCCTAGAATACCTATATGTTTATAAATTAGATTTGTAAATTATGGACAGAAATGTAACAAATGCATGATAGCTTCTTTACGTTCCTTTCCTTCCTTAATCCAAATAATATTTTCAATATTTCCATTTTTTTTCTTTCGTATCTAATCCAAACAAGATGGATTGAATCCACTGCACTTTACTCTTCTTTCATCTCTTTTCTATTAGAGTTCACTCCTTTCCTTTTCTTCCCTTTCCTTCAATCTAAATGGTGCCTTAGATCAAGAACTTTTCAACAACCTCAAATGTACATCCTTATTAATTTAGCCCCAAAACTCAACTTTTGATTTTATCACTACAGACTAATAACCATCATACAATTGCTACTTTGTTTTGAAATACATTTATCTTTTCTCAGTATATGTCATACTCAATTCTCCTTTATTCCTTCTCTAAGTGCCACATTGTCTTGAAAGATATTCAGCTTTCCTTAGGGAGTATGTGGCAAGTTCCATTCTCATTTGTTCATCCTCAAGATCCTAATATATTAAAAAAGAAGAACACAATAAATGATTTGCAAATATTTTCAGGATCAATATTTTTTTAAAAAAATGCCAATACATTATTCCACAAAAATAAAAAATCAAAGGAAGGACAGGTCCCAAGTAGCCATACCAATCGAGGATAATGAGACACTTCTCATAGTAGAAAAATTCGTTACCACAAAAAATGCAAATGACAAAGAAAAGTCAGTCATTAACAAGTGGTAAGAGCCGACTGCAGCCAGAAGCGTACACAAGCACGTGACGCCGTACGAACGAACAGTGACATCTTGCCAAAATTGTACGGGCAAAATCATCAAACTCGGTTGGTAATGGAACGTCGTTTAGTTTTATCCCAAGAAAGAAAGAAAACACGCGCTTTACTGATTATTCTGTGGTTGAGATTTGAGACTTATGAGATAAAAAAAAAAAAAGAAAAAGACTACAAAGATATTGAAGAATATCATTTCTCTGTACATCTTGCCTAAAAAATCTCTCTTTAGGGTTTCTACTAGTGTCTTGCCTACCCAATATTTTCCAGCTTCTGTCATCTCCCATCTTGCAGATCTGAGACTTCCCAGAAAAGATATTGTCTGGTTTTCCATTTTTTGGGGTCAATCAGTGCCACTCCCTCCGGGTTCTTGCCGTTTTTTGGAAACTTTTTTGTTCATGTGTTTATTTTAGATTTTTCTTGATCAAGTGTTTTTTGTTGTTTGCACTTTAACCCTTTATGGAATCATTGATTTGTCTTTCAGGGTCGTCGGTGGATTTAATTTTGCACCTCGTAATGTTGAGAGGGAAAACTCAGATTAAGAGGATAGAAAGTGCAACAAGCAGACAAGTGACATTGTCAAAGAGGAGAAGGGGAGTTCTCAAGAAGGCCTTTGAGCTATCTCAGCTCTTTGTGATGCAGAAGTTGCACTGATCGGGGGTAGCTTCATGAACTCTCAAGTTCCAGGTACATTTACCATCAACATTCGCAACTGATCTGCTCATAATCTCTATCTGTCTCTCTTCAGCAAAACGGTATCATATTAATCAGATTTTTTGTCCACTTTTACAACGGATTGGCCATTAATCATTCCAAGCATGTTCTCAAGCTTTTGTCAGGGCTAAGGGATCAGGGATCCCTTATCTGGTTTTATGTCCGTTCTTATGAAATCAATTTTTACCAATAAGTGCAGTTTTTTAATGAGTTTGACTGAAGGGGTTTAGATATTATTTCGTCCGGAGGTGCAAATAATAGATCCTTGGAACTTGGAAGCACAGCAAATCTTAGATAGACAAAGATACACACAATTTGAGGAAGTACCAATGTCATCAACAGTGCTAATTCTGCAACACTTTTTTTTTTTTTTGGAGATGATGTTTTATGCCAAGTTGTCAACTTAAAGAAAATAAAAATCAGTAGCAAATGTTATGAGACGCAGCATTTCATCCCAACAAGCAGTAACCTTGCGTAGTAGTTCTTAGATCACATTGTGTACATAGACTATGAGGGGCTATACTGAATACAAGTGGAAATGGTACCATGTCTATAATGAAGCCGGTAAGTAGTTGTTGTGCTTTTGTACTTGTTCTTTGAAAATGTCCAATCACACCAGCCTATATGCATTAGTACTACGAGGAACCTTCTCAATTCCCTCCGAACTTTCAAGATTGAGAGAATGCATCCTTGTTATTGGAGTCATGGAGAACGTCTAATCATGGAGAACGTCTAAGCAGGATAGGAGTACTCCTATTTTGAAGCTTTGCTTACCTAAATCTCCTAAATTAACCTGTTATGCTAAGTTAAGTTCCAATGAGATGTATAATTTCGGTGGAGACAATATGGCAGTACCATTTGACACAATTGAGGATCCAAGGCTTTTCTGTAACTTACTTTTATTAGCTGTGTTGGTACAAATTTTACTTGGATTGGCTTACTTTCAACTTTAAGAAGGAAATAACGGAAAATTTTATTGTTAAAAACCTAACTTGATGAAAGAAAAATTTTTTATGACACCAATTTGACAAATATTTTCAGAAGGATAAGGTTGGAAGTTGAAGGTATAAATGAATTGCAAACATCATAAATGAACCCTCGTTTTGAATCAAGAAAAAATGTTTAATCACTAAATCATATTTGGTTCTCCAATATTGCTCTGATCGAATTTTAATTTTTGTATATGATGAATTTGGGTGTTTTATAAATAGAAATAAATATTGAGTACAGTTTTTGAAGATTTAAAGATTTCTCATTGACTCGTAGTTTAAAACAATTTGATGTAATTACATATGTCAACAATTATTTGGAATCCTTTTTTTTAATTGAAATTCATACCAACAATAATTCGGACTCGAAATTCCTTCCTAAAATTCCTAAATCAACATGATGGTAATGTATTAAGGACTGGCTCCTTTCTGTGCTAAACTATAAAAGTTGTGATACTTTGAGCAAAGTCTCCCTATAGGAAGTATTCAATCTCTGTCAATCTCTTATTCTTTGCAAAAATTTATTTGTCAATCACTTATTCTTTGCAAAAATTTATTTTGTCACACATTTTCTGTCAAATACAAACTTATTAGGTCTTGTATTAGTGATAAATATGACACTTTATGGGTTTTAAATTAATGGCCTGTTCTCATCTTCTTTTCATGTCTCTTTACTTTTATGGGAAGGGTGGATAGATAACCTCATTCAACAGTTTAACTCATGACCCTATTTTGTCTCTTTAGTTTAAATAGAACCTATTGTGTTTTTCGAATTGCCTCTTGGGTCTTAAAAAAGGTGCCTGAGCAAAATTCTTTCCAAATTGGCTTGATAGATGCCAGTCAAGTGAGAGACGTGAAAGTTCTCCAAGGGCAATAGATAAAAATTATTAAAGCCTAAACCTGCACCCTTGGTTAATCACAACAGATTAAGTAAATAAAAGGGAAAGGGTCTAACACATAATGCATTATTAGGACAAAATTTGGTAATCAACTTCATTCTTTCTAAATTTGCACATATATATGTACACATATTCACACACATATACTACACAAACAAATACACCTACATATACATACACATATATACATATAAATACATACATACATATATATATGTGTGTGTTTGTGTGTGTGTTGAGAGAGAGAGAGAGAGAGAGAGAGCACAAATAGAAAGAGCTAGAGATCGTATCAGATGGAAAGTGTAGATGGGTGAAATTACTTGCAGGTGTGGTTTTAAGTTTTTCGATTGACTTGAAGATAGAGGCACGTTAGATTTATTAGTGGCCTGGTCTATTTCGATGTATTTGTCAGTAATTATACCTATTTGCTCTCTCTTTTCCTCTCTCATTATTGAATCTATAGCTCTGGCCATTTGCTGTCTGTTTCTCTCTCTCTCTCTCTCCCTCGTCCTCTCTTTCTCTCGATGTGATTTAGGAAAAAAAAAAATTGGTCATCAAATTTTGCCTCGATAATGCAAAAGGTGGATGGATTCTTTCCATCCTATGTACTTGGTCTATTGTGATCAACTTAGGGTTGCAGATCTTGACTTCTAACTCTTTCGATCTATAACCCATGGAGAACTCGTATTTCTATTGTGATATTATGTTAGAAGAAATGTTTTCTAGAAGCCTTTTGAAACCTAATTCATAAGTTGAAGGACTTAATAAGTTCTTTATACATGCAATGGACAAAATAAGATGATGAGTTAATGGTGAATGACGGAAAAGGTCATTTGCCGTAGAAAATTCTCTCAGATTATTGATAACAAGAAAAGAAACAAAATCTGGGGATGAAAATAGCTAGTTTGAAGTCTCTAGATCCATGAACGGATATAATATCAGAAATCAGGATGAGAAACTTTATTTTAAAATTCTTCACTGAGTAATATTGCGTGCAATGATTTAATTGCGTTAGTGCCACAAGT